AGTACTCTCTCAACTGTACCAACTTTATAGTCTTAATGAATTGTCTACAGTAGAGAAGTTAATTGATTTGTCAACTCTCATAAAGTCAGTATGTGTAGGAGGCAAGACTTGGTCAACACTCTATATTTAAGCCAAACTGTTTCTCCAATATACCCCTAATTATATCACCATCATATAATACATTGGAATTAAATTTATTCAAGATCTTGAAAATATGCATATAAATGTAATAATAGATAAAGGCATCACATAAACTCTATCTAGGAGCATTCTGGACTTAAAGGTAATTCATGACATAATTGTATTATGTTAAATACTGTAGAAATCTGTGGTTATGAGAAATTCCAAGTATATTTATATAGGCAGATATTTTCATCTTAGTTTATATTAACTCACAGCTATTTAGAAATTCACAGTTTACAAAGCATTATCACACAACAATTCTTTGAGGAATCTATCATTTTCTAACAGAGGAATAAATAAACCCAGGATTAAAAGAAATGAGGTAATTGCTCAAGATGATGCAGCTTTTTTCAAAATTGGGACTAGTCTGTCAATCAACAAGAATTTATTAAACACTTAACCATATTCCAGCTACTGCGTTAAGGGCTACAGATGCAAAGAGAGGTAACGCTATAACAAGAACAACAAGAACAACAAGAACAACAACAACAATAGCTCACGTTTATACAGCACTTGCTATGTTCCAGGCACTGTGCTCAGTACTTTACAATTATTAATCTCATTTGATCCTCACAACAATCCTGTGGAAGATGGGGAAACTGAAACAAACATAAATTAAGTGACTTGCCTAGCTCACACATCTAGTGTCTGAGGCCATATTTGCATTCAGATCTTCTTTACTCCAAGCCCAACATTTTTTTCACTGCATCACCTGCATAACTGCCTCCAATATCAACTACCACAGATACAGGAATAAAAATACAATCCTCGCTTTCTGGACATTCTAATGGAGAAGACAATACATAAATAATTAAATTCATAAAAATTCACATACCAAATACATGGAATATAATAGATGGAAAAAATAGATGGAATATAATCTCAAAGGAAGCTAGTGGTCACTATGGAACACCTATTGTAGAAGGCGGGCTTTGATCTGAATATTAAAGAAAACCAGGAATACTGTGAGGTGAAGATGAGGCACTAATGCATTCCAGGCATGAGAGACACCCAATACCAAGGCATAGAGACCATGGAGTGTTGTGTTTTGAGGAACTGCAAGTAGTCCAGTGTAGCTAGGTAATAGAATACATAGAGGGAAGTGAGGTCAAAGAAGAATGGAGACATAGGAAGGGGCCGCATTATAAAGAGCTCTAAATGCCAAACAGAGGAGTCTATATATGATCCTGTAGGTGATAGGGAACCACTGGACTTACTGAGCAGGGAGTAATGGGTTGGACTTATGCTTCAGAGGAATCGTTTTGGCAGCTATGTGGGGGATGGATTAGATGGGGAGACACTTGAAGCTATTGTATTAGTCCAAGTGAGAGGTGATTAAAACACGACCTAGAGTTGTGGCTGTAGTAATGTAGAGAAGAAGACACATATAAAAGATGCTGTAAAGGTAGAAATGACAATGATTTGACAACAAATCGGATATGTAACTGAAGAGTTGAAGATGACATGAAAGTTGTGAACCTGTGTGACTTTAAGATTGGTGGAATACTGTACAGTAAGAGGGAAGTTAAGAAGATGGGAAGGATATTTTTTAAAACATAATGAATTCTGTTTTGGATTTATTGAGTTTGGGATGTCATGAGGCATCAAGTTTGAGATGTTTAAGGGGTAGTTGGAGATGCATGACTCCAGCTTGGCAGGGAGACTATGTGGATAGATAAGCTTTGATATAGATCATCTGCATAGACATAATAGATGAAGTATGAGAACTGATGAAATTATTAATTGAAATAGTACAGAGCAGAAAAAGAAAGAGGGACTAGTACAAAACTTTGGAAGATTAGTGGGTATGACATGGATAAAGAACCAATAAGAAAGACAGAAGTAGCAGTTATACAGAAAGAACAACCAGGATAGATCAGAATCATGAAAATCTAGAGAGGAGGGAGAATCCAGGAGAAGAACATGAACATTAGCAAAAGCTTCAGAGAAGTCAAGAAGGCTCAGGATTGAGAAAAGGCTATTAGATTTGTCAATGGGGAGATAGTTGGTAGCTTTGGATAGGGAAGTTTCAGTTGAATGAGAAGATCAAAAGCCAAACTGCTGAGTGTTTAGAGTTGAGTGATAGGAGAGGAAGTAGAGGCACCAAATGTGAAATAATGTTCTTAAGGCATTTAACCAAAGTTAAGAGGTGCGATATAAAAAGATAACTGATGGAGATGATAGGATCAAGTGAAGGTTTTTTTAAGGGTAGGAAGTTAGATGGGCATATTTGCATATAGCAGGGAAGAAGGCAGCAGAAAGAAGCTGAAGCTGTGAGAGAGAAGGTGGGGAAGGATAATGAAGGAAATATATTGGAAAAGACAGGAGATGAGATGCCCATGTTGAAGGGCTGTCTTTGGTTAGGAGAAGGGCCACCTCTTTGTGCGAGCTTGGAGTGGAGGAATAGAGGAAAATGTCTGAATGATGTGAGACTGTGAGCAAGATGGAATTCTTGGTGAATATTCTGTTTTTCTCTTTGAAGTACGAGGTAAGGTCCTCAGCTCCGTGGGTGGGGGTGTTGTAGAAGGATTGAAGAAAGGCCAAATAGCTTCTGTGGAGAGTAAAGTAGGGAAAAGATAAGGACAAAATGAAATGTTTACCTTCATGCAATGAGGACTCAGTTAAAATTAGATAAGATCAATTTGTAGTGGGCATAGTGGAAATTACTGTTTCATGATCACCCCTAGCTCTTTTGAGCCTCATGTGATCAAGATCCATCATTGGTGTTGCTTTTGTAAGGACACAGGAGCAAGAGATTGAAAGGAAGAGGTCAGTGTGGAGTTGAGTTAGCTCACCAAGGGGTCACCAAGGAGAAAGGAGGAGAGTGTGGACAGTGTAGAGGTAATGAATATCCTGGGAAACAACTGAGGGGTGGGAGTCATGAAGATGACATTGAGGATGAAGAGCAGAGTTAGACATTGTAAGGCACAGGGAAAGATGGAAGAAAAAAAGACAGAATTTCAGGGTTTGTATGCAAGGGTATGGAATAGTTGTGGAAAATGTCAAGAGCAAGGGTGTCATCATTTCTGTAGCTCATGTAGAGGAGAGATGTAGGTCATGAAAATTGAATAGACTGAGGAAGTGGAAAGTTAGGGTATTTGAGGAATCATAAATATGTATGTTGAAATCCCCTCTTATGAAGGCTTTAGATGAGGAGGAGAGAGAAACTATGAGCTATGCAGAAATTATTGAGGAAGTAGGGAAAGAAGGAAGTGAAATGCTAACTCCTGATTCTTTCTACTGACAGGATAATTAAAAGGAGGCAGGAAAATTGCTAAATTTCAGTACTCTACTCTTAATGCTGTTGTACCATCTAAAGAGAGTATCCAGTGACAAAATTATTTTTGAAAACAATTTCAGGGCTGTACCTACATACTTTACATAGAGAATGGGGAAAAAAAGAAAATAAAGCACTCCTTCAAATTTTACTAATGCTTTTCTAATTATCCTAAGTGTTTCAGTTAGCTCTAGGCCAAAGCAATTTAATGATTGTTTTGTAACAATATTTCTAAGTAACAACAAAGGAAGTTTTAGAGTGCCAGAGTTTATCTGGAGAGCAAAATAAAACTCCACTAAATTTTTCTCTGATGCTTCTACCTTAATCTCTCTTATACATTGAAATGTAAAATGCACTACTCTTACTAAGACTTATGGTATTTAAAGTATGTTAAAATTTTTGTTGGGGAAAAACATCATATGTTTTATCAGAGTTGAAGGTTTTGTAGGGTAAAATGTTCACATCTGATTCTTTTTGAACATTGAGATTTTGATTGTATCAATCAATTGAATAAACAAAATGTCATTTTGTAGGGCAACAAATTAGGGATACTCATTAAGAAGAATGAAAATCAAATAAGATATTACAAGTCCCCCTGAGTCTTAAGATCTATTTTTGTTTTATTAAGATAGGAAAAAACAACTTATACCAAACCCATGTAAAGATATTCAAAAATATAAACAATCTGCAATATCTATGTGAATTAGTACAGATTTGACAAAGATTGGTAAATTCCATGTAATCTGCTGTATTTGTCTAGTAAAACAGGTAAGTCACAGTCTCATCTAGATTTTCAGAGAGCACAACCAAGTATCACATATTCAAACACAGTAGGAGTGTAAAATAGGCTCTTTGTCTTGCTCTCTCCTGTCTTTTAGCCACTTGCCCACTTTGGTGCCCATTCTCCTCTTTGTTTCATAACAATTTTAGGTTTGCACTGGCCTATACAACATAGGCCAGCTTTGAATGTTCTCTCTCCTTCTGCTCATCCATGAAGGCTTTATTGTCACCATATTTAAACTTCACAGTTAAAGTTACCTAATCTTCAACTTGTCCCCTTGGGTCCAAATTCTCTGTGCCTTCCAAGAGCCTAATTCTGATGAAGGCATTCATGCTAATGGAATGAATGGATAAGACTCCCAAAGTTTGCTCTTTTCTCTAAATAAAGGCTTCTTTTCCTCATGCCCTACTTAGAAAATGTCTCACTTTCAGATTTAACCCAAAGGAATGAATAACGGTGGACTGAGTAGGAGAAAATGGAAACGTGGCAGGACATAAGTAACATTGTGAGGCCTAACACCTCTTAAATCCATAGGTACATTGTTTTTTAAATCTCTCCAAATAATGAAAACTATTTTCTGGGTAATCTGACCTAATGGACTATTTTCAGCCATAGAGACTAGTGGTTAAAATAAAAGTAACAATATCCAAAATAAATTGCCATTGATACTAAAAATTGTAGCATGAAATTCTGTGGCTTCTAGGATGCATAAATATGGTGATTAAATGAAATTCTTCCCTTTGTTTTCAATTATTGTAGGAAGAACCCTATGTTATGTTCAAGAAGTCTGATAAGCCCCTGTATGGAAATGATCGATTTGAGGGATATTGCATTGACCTCCTCAGGGAATTAGCTACAATCCTTGGTTTTACCTATGAGATTAGACTTGTGGAGGATGGAAAATATGGAGCCCAGGATGATGTCAATGGACAGTGGAATGGAATGGTTCGAGAACTAATTGATCATGTAAGTTTTTTTTTTTTATTTCTTGTAGAAACAACTTTTTAAATGTTACATAAGCCTCTCAGGGTCAAGAGTATATTTTTAGAACATGTTTTTATTTTTAAATTTGAATGTCATTATGTTGTTTTATTAGAAGACACATATTGTCATTGTGTTTGATACTTGATATGAAAGATAATGGTCAGTTTTATATCTTTAAGTTAACTAGTATTTAGTGTATCAGAATCTGGAAAACTAATGCATTTTTCACCAGATTTTGATTTCCTAATGTTGCATTTGCTTCCTTCTTTATTATATAATCAATATCATCTCCTAATCATGATATATAATAGATAAACTATATTGTTAATTCTTTGAAAAAATACTTTTACTAGGAGGAAGACATGATAGTTGCCAAATGACTCTCACAAATCTTATCCTGATAAGAAGAATGAGACAAGTCCATATACAATCTAAGATATGAAAAATTAGCCATGTGATGTGTTTTCATTTTCAAGATCAAATTTAAAATAAAACAGAAATAGAAAAGCACACAGAAACAACAGGGCATTTCAATGTGAGTCAAAACTGATATCATTACAGGCAGTTGTTTGTAATTGGATAAGTCAGGCATCCCTTCTCTTTGGCCTAAAAAAAGCATAATTTCTCAGTTGGTGGTGCCAATGAATTCCTGTCTTGGAAACACAGTCTGATCTTTACGAAAACTATGCCATTGTCTCTGGCTTTTCTTGTTTTGACACGTTTGCATTTATTTTGACAATTTCTTAATATTAAGGCATCTGGTCATGATCAAATTTAATAAAATAAGAATTCTGCTTATTAATACTATGTTGTATAAATAAAATCTCATTGCCAGAAGTGTAAAGTATAAGGAAATGGCTTTCTCAGTGCTCTAAAAATATACTATTAGAAACCAATGTTGGTTAACAAAAACTTTAAAATGTGCATATACATTATGCTGTTAATTCTCCTTTCTTTGGCTTTCAGTCAGTCAGACATTACTAAGTGCCTAATATGTGTCAGGCATTATGCTAATAAGCACTGGGGATGTAAAGAAAGGCAAAAATCAATCCTTACTCTTAAGGAGCTCATAGTCAAGTAGGGGAAACAACATGTAAGTAATGTATACAAACTTTATATGCAGGAAAAATTTCTGGTAGAAGGCAGGATTTTAACTGGGAGTTGAAAGAAGTCAGGGAAACCAGGAAACAGTGATAAGGAGGGAATGGGGGACAGCAGTGAAATGCTTATGTTCTGGAGATAGACTGTCTTGTGCAAAGCACAAGACACTTTGGGAATAGCTTCATAAAGTGAAGGCTGTTTGCATCAGAGCTTGTGCTAAATTAGAGGAACTAGATAGTAGGAAAGGGGACTGATACACCCTGCATCTCACCAACCTATACATGATAGTTAGCCTAGTTTAAGTATAAGCAAAGAGGCTAGTTGAGGCTTGACAGATCAGTATATCTGTGACAGTCATTGTACTGTGACCTGAGTATCTTTCCCTGGTTCTTCCCTTTATCTTTTTTGTATTGAATGAAGGTGAAAACTAGAATCTGCATTGATCTGATGTCATGAATTATGTTGCTCCAGGGCCCACACAGCATGTGCCAGAGCTTGAGATAGGAATCACTTAATAATGATGTTTATAGCCTAGTGTTGACTATCTGAATCTTGCTTTGTCAGATTGCTCCCTAGAGAAAGATGTGCCCTGTAGCTAGCATCAGGCATGTGACAGGTTAGGTTAATGGTGATTTAAGCTTAGAGGATAGATTGACAGTAAATGGGGAGGAGAGAAGGTATGCCAAAACAGAGAGAAAGGAAATAGTTAAAAGACTCATCCTGTTTTATATACCACTTAGCTTTGACCTGAGTATCAGTTGTTATTATTAGCAAATATTCAAAAAAACTTTTGTTCCTTCCTTTGTACAGTTAGTAAGTCAATACACATTTATTAATTTCAACACACATTTATTAATCCTGGAAGTCATAGAGAGTGAGTCACCAGAGTTGAGTGACAGTGGAGTAACATAGTCAGAACTGTGCTTCAGGAAGATTATTTTGACAGCTGAGTAGGGGATGGACTGGCACTTGAGGCAGACAGATGTACTATTTTTATTTTCAATGAGTTTTGCAATTGACATAGCAGCCCTAATATACTCTAAACTATGGCATGCCAGAAGATAAGAAACAAATAATCATGTCAACTGTGGTAAGGAAGACCAAATAATAAAGTAATGTGGGCTTGGTTGGATGGTAATGGATCTGTAGGATAGCAAGTGAGACAAAATAATGATGGGCTTAATAGACTCCAGGAAGTTGGAGAATCATTTTGTGGAAAAATTGATAACCTTTCCCAGACTTCATGGGACAGAGTTAAAGTATCTATCTTAAATATATTTGCTGTTATTTTATTAATTTCAAAAAGTTAGATACAAAGTTTATTGAAGAATAGAGTTTATAAGCTTATTATATGAATAAGGTACTTAAAGCAGGCACTGTGCTAAGCATTTTACAAATATTATCTCATTTTATCTTCATAACAACCCTGTGAGATAAATGCTACTGTAATCCCCATTTTACAGATGAGGAAACAGGCAGACAGAAGTTAAGTGACTTGCCCAAGGTCATCCAAGGAGTGTTTGAAACTGGATGTTAACTCAGGTCTTACTGACTCCAGGCCAGACTCTATGTACTCAAACTTAGCTTCCTAGTAGTTGCAACCAAAGAGTCAAAGCTAGGACTTTTCATTCGATTTCAGTTTTGGCAAACTTGCTATATGAAATCATCAAGTTGCTGTTACCTTTTTTTCTTTGCATTTCATCACTTGTGTGAAAGTCAGGACATTCGTTTTTTACTTCAAAGTGGAGTCTTACATCTTTGGAATTTATGTCAGTTTCCTGATATATTTGCTTCAAGATGAAATAGATGCTCCACTTTCTCTGAATGACCATGGCCTTTCTCCATGTTGCATACTAAATATATTAGCATTGTTTCATCATTGGTGATTGTCTCAATAAACCAGCCACATTTCACTCCCAGGTCATCTACTTACCAGCCCCCATGCCTACTTTCTGCCAGACTTTGTGATATTGTAGTAACAAGGACAAAAATAAACAATATCTCCTCCCAGGAAGTTTACTTTAAGTTTTGATAGCCTAAAACTACACTAAGACATTTGAAACATCCAGTAAAATCAGGTAAGCAATTTTAAAATATATCTATCTATCTCTATATATCTATATATACATACATATATAGATAGATAGATAGAGAGATAGATGTATATATACACACATAAGCGAATATGATATAATTTTGAGGGGAGGGCAATGCACAATTGACCAGGAAAATATGGAAAGACCTCTTGTAGGAGATGGTAGTTAGGCTAAGCCTAAAAGGCAACTAGGGTTTCCAAGAGGCGGAGGAGAAGAGGGACAGCATTCTGGGCATGCCTGTACAAAGGCAAGAAGTAAGAAGATGTAACATTAGTCTTATGAGGAAAAGACTACTACTACTATTACTACCAATAGCTGACATTTATATAGCACTTATTATGTGCCAAGCAATATTCTAAGCACTTTACAATTATTACTTCCTTTGATCCTTCTAGAAGGTAGGTGCTATTATCATCCTCATTTTATGAATGAGGAAACTGAGACAAATAGAAATTAAATGACTTGCATAGAGTCACACAGGTAGTAAGTGTCTGAAGCCAGATTTGAAGTGAAGTCTTCCTGATTCCAGGATCAATACTTTATCTACTTCACCACCTAGGTGCCCCAGTAGTCAAGCAAGTAGTCAAATTTGGCTGGAACAGAGGTGTGTGTGTGTGTGTATGTGTGTGTGTGTGTGTGTGTGTGTGTGTGTGTGTGTGTGTTCGCTCACATATGCATGAAACAGACAGAGATAGAGAAAAAGAGACAGAGACAGACAGAGACAGAGAGGGAGAGGCAGAGACAGAGAGAAAGAGAGAGGGGGGAAAGGAGGGAAGAGAAGGGGAGAGAGAGAGAGAAAAGAGAGAGAGAGAGAGAGAGAGAGAGAGAGAGAGAGAGAGAGAGAGAGAAAGAGAGAGAGAGAGAGAGAGAAATGTGAAAGCAGCCTGGAAAGATAAGTTGAAGCCAGATTTGAAGAGCTTTAAATGCCAAATAGAGGAGTTTTTATTTGATCCTAGAGGCAATAGGTAGACACTAGAGCTTCTTGAGCAGGGAATTTTAAATGGTTAGATCTTTGCTTTAGGAATAACAAATAAGAGCCTTTTTTTCACATTTATATCTGCGTCCCCATAGCTTTGAACAGTGCTTGGCACATAGCAAAGGCTTGCTTAATATTTTTTTTCAATCATTTATAAATAGATAAGCAGAAACTGCATGTATTATATAGCTTCTCCCCCTCAAGGATTATTAATATTTATAGAATGCTTTACAATTTACAAAGTAATTTTATTTAACTCCTTGCAGTTCCTCTAACAAGAAACTCTCCTCTTCTGCTTAGGGATTTTCACTGGCTGTTTCCCATGCCTTGTCATTTTTTCCTTCCTCATTTCCATCTCCTGGTTTCCTTTGCTTTCTTCAAGTCCCAACTAAAGTCTTACCTTCTCCTTGAATCCTTGCCTGATCTCCCTTGATTCTCTGTTGATTATTTCAAATTTATCAGTATGCAGCTTGTTTCTACATGTTGCTGCCTCGTTAAGCTGTTAGCTTCTTGATTGGGGGACTGCCTTTTGGCCATCTTTGTATCCCAGTGATTAGCATAGTTCCTGTTATATAGCAAGCAATTAGTAAATATTTATTGACTGACATATACATTATCATATTTGATTATCTCAACAACTCTATAAAGTAGGCCAAGGAGGAATTATCTCCATTTTATAGATGAGGAAACTGAGGGTCAGGAATGTTACGTGACTCATGTAGGGCCACATAGCTGGTGCAGGGGAGAGCCATGAATAGGGCATGTCTTCTTTCTACTATGCCACATTGCCTCTTTCCTGTTGTGAGTTG